AATAGATGAGAGTCTTCATTAAATGAAGTAACTTTGTTTTACAATATCCATGAATTTGACATTCCAAACATGAAAAAACTTTTCTTTTTTGTCTAAAAGGCCAGGAGATCACATCACAAAGATAAAGCCATCTCAAGATAATATAGTAGAACAACATTATCAAGTTGAATTATTTTATATTATTATAGACATGTAACTTCAAGAACTTGATAATTGTTTCACTGAAAGAAATATTGAATTGCTCTTTTGTATGGCTTGTTTAAGTCCAGCCAACTTGTTCTCGTATCCAATTTTGATAAAAGCAATTTGATTGAATTTGTCAAATTTTATCCACATGAGTTTTCTGTAGTTGATTTGATGATGCTTATAATTAGTTTGATATTTATATAATTGATATGCATAGCAATATTAAATTTACGTCTTTAAAGGATAGTAACAATCTTGCAGAAAAACTAATTAAAACAAGAAGACATGTTATTTATTCACTTATTTATCTTCTATTGAAGGTTGCAATGATTTTACTTGTTGTTACAACAACAATAGTAGAAAGAGCGTTCTTTGTCACAAAGTTGTAAAAAATCAATTACATAATCATATGATAAATAAATGAATGAATGACTGCTTGGTGACTTATATTAAAAATGATGTTTTTAACACTATTAATAATGAGCTGATTATTTAATAGTTTCAAAATATGAAACCACATTGACAATAATTGTAAAGTATGTAAATATTAATTATAGATAAATTTTGCATGATATTAGTATAGTTTCATGTGATATGATAATTGTTGTCTTTTCTTTTTAAATAAATTATCGCCACTAGTTTAGGATCTTAGATCCGTCACTATTGGAAGGTGAGGCATAGTAGTTTAATGCTTGCTCCACTCTTCTTTCTCTCTTTTTTCATCTTTTATTTCTTATTTTTTTAGCAGTATAAGTTCACAGACGATAAAAAATAAAAAAATTAAGATATATCAGCCATTAATATAAAATATGACATTAATTAGCTAATTAGCTAATACACCTTTAGGAGAAGCTGTCGTGGTTACTGTTCATATATGGTGAGCTTAACAAGCTAATTGGCGCATTTGTTGATTGTTGATTTTTTTAATATATAAGAAAAAAAATGTAAACTTAAAGGATTGTTAAAGAATTTGTAAGTATTATTTATTTGCCTCCATATTTTCTGTTTTCTTTGTATTTAGTCTAATTTTTTAATTAAAAATGGTACAATTGATTCCAGCACTCCATGTTTTATATGATTTGACATTTTGCTCTCATGTGCGAGATTCTGGATCCGTCCTCGTCCAGATAACAATTAACAATAAAATGAAATATTAAAATCAGTTGCAGCAGAAAATCACCACTCCATTTTTAACTAAAATGTGATGGTTGGAAAAAGAAATTTGAGACACGTGACATCACTGGAAATTTGGTCCTAGCAAAGTTATTAAAACAATTGATGATTTTATCTTTTTAACATGGTCTTAGCAAAGTTTCAATTCCTCCAAATAGTGGCCAAAAACTTGGCACTTGTGTTTGGAATTGGAAGAAAGCCGAGCTTTTTGGGAAAACCTTTAATTTACTTCCAAAAAGAGTTTTTGCTTTTTATAAAAACAAGTAAATATGGGTAAATCTCCTTTGTTTTTAGTATTTTATATAATCCATCCACTCCTATAAAAAAATGAAACATATTTAGTTTATACTTCTTCTGTCAAAGAGATTTGAAGTTTTAAAATATAAAATATTTTAATAAAAATTTAATGATATTTTTTAATAATATATTGTTATTGTATTCTTTTTTTAATATTCTTTCATAAATGAAAATTAAATGAATGATGTTTCTAGAAAATATCATGTTTTTTAATGACATTTATGTTAATATAATAAATTAGTTTTTCACCCTTTATTTCACTAATTTAAATATGTTTTTAAAAATAACAATTTAAATGGATTTTTTTTCATCTTTCTCAAAAATTATTTTGAAAAACCGTTCTACAGATTTGTTTTAAGAACGAAAAAATGAAAAACAAAACTGAAGAAGCCTATTTTTTTTTTTTTTGAAAACTGAAGGTTGTAATGCATATTTAATACTCACTTCATTAAAAAATAAAAGACATTTTTAATTAAATTTTATCTTAATAAAGTAGTCACTCGTCTTTAAACTAACTTTATATTTTTATATTTACTCTTATTAAATAGGATGTTTCATCTTAAAATGAATATAAATAATTTATTCACAAGGGTGCTTTTGAAAAAAAAGCAATGATTATATCTTGATAAATTAAAAATATTTTATATTTTTAAATAAATAAGATATGTTTTATTGATATGTGTGATTGTATTTAAAAGTATTTTATAAATTAGAATGAAATGAATATCATATAATTAATTTAATTTAAATTTCCATGATTTCAATTATACGTCCTTCATCTGCCCTGCTCCCTTCCTACCACCAATATTTACTTGTAAGATCAAGTTAAATTATGACATGTAGACATTTTATATATATTTTATTCTGTAACAAGCTTTTTTATTAATATTTTAATTCTTTAGAATATTATTTGTTTTGATTTAATTGAACAAAACTATAATAGACATATACAAGACTAATAACCTAAATCTTTCCCTTTTAATTATTTCGGTTTTTCTGCCTAATATTCTTTGTTGGTCAAAAAAATTGATTAAAATTAGATCTAAATTGCATAGAACCAGCCGCCCCGCATGCAAAGTGAGACGGTTCATAATTTCATACTCCATCCTTTGAAAATCACATGGTACACTGTAAGCAGCCATAAACCTCGCAACTTCCAAACTTGACTTCAACGCAATCAAGATATACTTTTTTAAATATTTATAAACGTATTCTTTGATGGAATTAAACCATGGGTCATGACTCCTGTTATCTCTGATTCTATCTGATTTTTTTATAAATTATTTTTAACATATTTTATTATAATTATTGAAAAATTTAAAGTTTATTAACACTTTTTAAAAATTAATAAACTTCAAACTTTACTATTATTAAATATATACATTATAATAGCCTATTTTATCTCACTAACATTTAATGAGAGGCACTAGAGAAAAGACTATTGATAAAGATTTAATGATATGGCCCAAAAATATGGCCAAAAATAATATTTTCTCCCTTCTTTATAAAGATTGCAGGGGCAATACATTTCTTCTTGTATTGATTATAAGTTACATCTAATATATTATAATAATTTCTTTAAAACTTAGTACTTGTTTGGATTTCTCTTTCATGTCTTAATTTTGAAAAAGTAAAATTTGTTTGGATATCATTTTATTTTTAAATGTTCATTCTAAAAGTCCCTTCATAAATTTTTAGCTAATAATATCCAAAATCACTTAAGTATTTGGACTATTTTCTTATTAACGCTCATTTTATTATGTTAAGGTGATGGATGATTAGAGGAAATCCTCTCTTGATCTTATTTTGATGTAATCCTTGCTAGTTTTGTTTCACTTTTCAATATAAAAAAGAAAAATCGATTCATATGAATATTAAAAATCCTTTTCCAAAAATCTACAGAGACTTGCTTTGCGTGTGTGTGGGAAAAAAGTCAAATATATTAATAAAATAAACGACTGCAAATATAAATTAGTAAATTTTAACCATCTCTTTTCTCAATTTATCCTTGTTAATATTTTTTTTAAAACATAAATAAAAATATTTAAAAAATATAATTATTAGTTCTTACAGTTTTATTTTTTTTAGTTCTTATAGTTTTTTTAATATTTTTTATCTCTATAAAGATTAAAAACATTGAAACTTTAAAGACATAAGTAATAAATATCATTTAATCTTGTTGAAACTATCAAAATTGAAAACTTCAAAAAAAAAAAATAAAAGAACAAAAAGCAAAAGTTAATAAAATTACAGGGATCAATAATTTTATCTTCCCAAGTATTTATAAATATTTTATGAACATATCAATTTTTTATTATTTATACTTCTTTATTAGTTAAATTATAAAATTTTATATTTTTAAAAATTTTATTATTATATATTTTCCAACATATAAGATTTTATATCATTTCCACATTCTTTTATCATATATATATGTCACTCATTATATCAAATTTTGCATTATTTATGTTTTTAATAAATCAACTTTAACATAAAAAAATCACATATAACATAATCTGTCTTTTTAATTATAAATTTTTTTTAATAATTATATATTTAAAAATACTTTTTATTCTATTTATATCTTCAAATAATTTTTAATTTATCAAATTAATTTTTTAATACAATAACTAATTTTTATCAATCTGATTATTACTAAATGAAATTTTAACAAGTAATTTTTTATCAAACTGAAAACCAAATGCACTACTCTCTTTATTTAAAAATATAAAATTTTTTTAAAAATGTGAATGTTAAAAAATATAAGATATTTTTAATTTTTTAAAATATAATTATTTTTTTAATATTTTTATTAATAATAATTTTATATTTATTATAGGGTGTTTAATAAAAGTAAGTATAAAAAAATAAAATTAATTTAAAAATAAATAATTATTAAAAAGTAAAATTTAATTAAAATATTTTGAAGTATAAATTTATGAATTATCCGCTTGTAGGGCAGACTGTAGCACGTAGAGTCTATGTCGAAGTCTGGCATAGAATTAGAGGCACCCTGGCCTTCTCTCTTCAGCCAGACTCAAACGGCTAATTTCAGCTTTAAAGCAAAGTACGTACGTTGGGCCCTTTTTCCACAGCCACCATCTTTCTCTCTTTTCCCTTTTTCGCCCTTTCCTCGAACCTCATCACCCTTTCTCATTTCATTACCTCACACATCCTCACTCATCTTCAACCAATATCCCATCACCACCGCCAAATGCAAACAGACAAAGCTCCAATTAGCTGCAAGTGGGCCCTACTTATAGCCACCGAGAAAATTTAGATTGCCCGTCCCTGCTTCCCTCTCCCACGTTTTAACTTCATTAATTATTGTACTTTTACTAATCTTTCCCCAAAGATAGTGACGGAATCAATAAAGAAAAAGTTTCATATTCCAAAGTTCCTCTCCTTCCTCACCCACAATCACACCTTCGTAGACTTAGTCCTCGTTAACAGTCCAACATCGATCTCATTGATGTTTTTCTTCCTTCTTGGATCTAATCTCTGCTTTCTTCAGTTTCTCATTCTTCTTTCCCATTAAAAATTTTTTCTCTTTTTCACTCATGACACAGCTTATAGCTTTCAGCTTATAGTATTATATATAGAAATATACTGAGCTGAACAAGGAAACAGACCTGCTAACAATGGCTATTATGGGTTTTATTTTCCTGTTCGTCTTGTTCTTCTTGGTGTCTGTATCAAGTAAGTAATGTTTTCTTCACAAAATCGTTAATCTGGCGATCTGGGTTTGTTCGTATTGGGTTTATTTCTAACCCCTTTTGGTTTTACAGGTGCAGAATTCTCGAGCATTCCAGGGATTAACTATGGCCAATTGGGAAACAATCTGCCGTCGCCATTGAAGTCGGTGGAGCTCATCAAAACCCTCAAAGCCAAGCGCGTCAAAATCTACGACGCAAACCCAGAAATCCTCAAAGCCCTGGCAAACACGAACCTCCAAGTCTCAATTATGGTCCCGAATGAACTCATCGTTAACATCTCCTCCAACCAAACTCTAGCAGACGAATGGATCAAAACCAATTTGATTCCTTTCTACCCCCAAACCCTCATTCGCTACCTCCTCGTCGGCAACGAGGTCATCACTAGTAGCCCGCCGGAAGTCTGGGCGGCTCTCGTGCCGGCAATCCGACGAATCAAGCATTCTCTCAAAACCTGTGGGATTCACAAAGTCAAGGTGGGAACTCCCTCCGCCATGGGCGTGCTGGAATCGTCGTTCCCTCCGTCGAACGGAACTTTTCGGAGCGACATTGCGGATCGGATCATCAGGCCTTTGCTGCAGTTCTTGGATCGGACGAAGTCGTTCTTCTTCCTGGATGTGTACCCGTACTTCGCTTGGAGTTCGGATCCGAACACCATAAATTTAGATTACACGCTGTTTGAGTCCAAGAACATAACGGTCACGGATCCAGGCACGGGTTTGGTATACCACAATATGTTCGACCAGATGGTTGACGGCGTGCATTTCGCAATGAAGCGACTCGGGTATCCGAGTGTTCGGATCTTCATCGCCGAAACGGGTTGGCCCAATGGAGGAGATATTGACCAGATTGGCGCGAATATTTATAACGCCGCCACTTACAACCGGAATTTCGTGAAGAAGGTTACGACTAAACCGCCGGTTGGCACGCCGGCTCGGCCGGGTTCGATTCTTCCGTCATTCATCTTCTCTTTATACAACGAGAACCAGAAACCGGGTGTGGGTACGGAGCGTCACTTCGGGCTGTTATACCCAAACGAGTCGCACGTGTACGAGATTGATCTGTCAGGGAAGACGCCGGAGTCGGAGTACAAGCCATTGCCACCGGCGGAGAACAATCAGCCATACAAAGGAAAGATATGGTGCGTGGTGGCGAAGGGAGCCAATAAGACGGCGCTTCAGGGTGCTTTATCGTACGCTTGCTCGCAAGGAAACAAAACCTGCGACCCGATCCAACCCGGGAAACCGTGTTTCAAACCCAATTCGCTGGTTTGGCATTCTAGTTATGCCTTCAGCTCATACTGGGCCCAGTTCAGGCCTTTAGGTGGGACCTGCTTCTTCGACGGCCTTGCCACGCAAACAACGAAGGATCCTAGTAAGTGTCAATTAATTTCTTTTTTAAAAAAAGTAATTTTCCTGATTTAATAAATATTTAATTTGGTTGAAATTTTTTTTCTCAAAACTGTACAATTTTCATTAAAAAATAACTTTGTTAAATTCTTAGTTTCTCTTATTTTTTTATTATAACTGCACTAACATTTTTTTTTTGGGAATTTATTGTGGAAGGCTATGGATCGTGCAAGTTCCCAAGTGTGACGCTGAAATAAGCAAGTGGGAATAATCAAAAAAGAAATAAGCAAGTGGGATTTTATTTTGTTTGACCATTGCAAGTGGGAGTTTGATTACTCAACGATTCAATAATTCATGATTGACCATTATCACATTCATATTTGAAAGAAGGAATTGCTGTTCTCATTTGAACACTTGTACTGAGACTGCTCGAATCTGACCCGACTCGAATCTGGATTATCCATTTTGTAATGTCAAGTGTCAGATTTCAAACGAGACTCAATAGATATGTGCGTGTGTTTTATAGAGAGTAACTTATTGCTGATTTAGCTTCGTGAATGTATGTTTCTTCTTTAGGCGGCATAAGGTACCCACCATCATGGGTATATATTGATTGATGAATTGTTTCAGTTTAATCTTCACTGTCATTTTTACTTCAATAATTGTTCATTTACAATAATATATCCTTAGTGACGAGTCTATTTTCTGTCCATTCATGATTGAGATTGACGACTGAAGTCATTGGCCACCACGCCCTTTTTTTTGGGTTTATAAATATTTTTTTTTTGGCCGGTGTTTATGAATATTTATTGAAGTAGTCATCGTCACACTTTAAAATTGTATAAATATATATATATATATATATTTAATAATTTAAACTGAATATAATTTAGGGAGAATATCAATCAAACACCTTGAAAGAATTAAAAAAGGTTTTTTAATTAAGGCATTATTAAATATAAAAATAATGTATAATTTTAAAGATAATTAGCTAATTTATTAAGAATAAAATTTGATTAAAAATATTTTATAATATTAAATGAGAACTATCTTATGTAAGGATCCCCAATTTTCAATACATTTGTTAAAATGATACTCCCTCCGGTCCCATTTATAAGTTCAATTCTAGAAGGTGTATTTGGTCCCATTTATAAGTCACGGTGCGTCTTTTTAGGTAATATTTGAGAGGTATTTCCAAAATTACCCTTCATGAGAGAGAAAAAGTAACAGGACATTACTTTTTAGATTTGTTATATAGGGGCATGTTTGAAATTTTACTTACTTTTATTCCTTGTACTTTTATTGTATTGGTATTGATGAGGTTGGTAGAAATGACTTATAAATAGGACCGGAGGGAGTAACTTTATTTAATAACTTGTTAGAATTTTTTTTTAATTTTTAACCTACAAGGTTGAGTCTAATAAAAAGGATCATATTGGCCAAAAAAAAAATAAAAATAAAAAGGATAATCTCTGCACAATTAAAAAAAAAAAAATCAGACTTCTACATACTTTAATGAATAAGGTATGGTGTTTATGTTTTATAAGCAACTTCGTACTTATATCTGTTTACATCACATCAACTAACAACCCAGGCTATCCTGCCTTTTTATTTTTAAGGTGATGCAGCCCATGGTAGGTCAAAGAAATACTATTGTATTATTAGTGATTTACAAATAGCATCTTTCTATGTCATTTTGAGTCTTTTATTTTGTTTTTAATTTTTGAAATTTTTTCTGTTATTTTATTATTAACTAATAATTAAAATTAATTTTTATTAACAATAAGAGATAAGTTACATGGCTTTTAAAAGTTAAGAAAATAATCTGTACACCTGCACAATAAATAAGTGCAAAATTTATAATGCAACTTGATATAAAATTTAGGAGATAATTTATTTATTTATTCTAAAAATAATGTTGTTTTATATATATTTCATATTATCCTAAAGCTTGGTGTTAGATAATTAATTCATAGAAAATTAGAAATTAATTGGAGTATACATATTTCAATGATTGATTTTTTTACCAATATTTAATAAGAGATAAAAGCAAAAAAATTTGATAAAAAATTAATGACATATTTCGTCCATTTTTATATATAAGAGAGAAAAATTTATCATATAGTTTAAAAAATTAATTAATTATAATAATCATGTCTAAAAGTAAAAAATAAACTAAAATACCCTATTTTAATCAACAAAAGCATGATTTAATTGTTCATTATTAATGTAAATCATGAGCAATAATTTAAGATATGTGATTTTTTTATAAAAAACAAATAAAAAATGATAGTTTTTGGAGGGAGTGCTTAGTTGTAATTAATATGTAAAATTAAAAAAAATCTCCCTCTTCGTGTCTTATACAAAAAAAAAAAAAAAAAATCAAAGAAGAATGTCAATTCCTGAACCCAACCATTGAAGGAGCACCGTAAACCAGCAACTTCTGTAGTGCTACTCGAATTTTAAATATAAAAGAAATTATCATGTTTTTTATTTATAAATAAAATTATAAATTTTAAAAAGTATGTATCATATATAAAGTTAATATTTATTTTTATTAGAAAAAATTATTTCATTAATTATGGGAATAATTTATTTTAGTTTTTTATTTTTAGATATAATTATTATACTTAAATAATTTTCTTAATTTGTATAAGTTAATTATTTTCTCTTATATTCATAAATGGAGAAGTAGAGGGATTATAGTATTACCTATATCTTAAATTATAAAATTATTTTAATAAAGATCTGACATCTTAAAATATTAGATACTTTGATAAAAATAAAGCTTTATTAATAATTTTTTTAATATTATCCTTCATATGTACTCTCTTTCATTAATATTCTTTTATAAATAAAGTATTAAATAGAGAGTATTTTAAAATTTTATATTTTTATCTTTAAAAATTAAAATTATAAAGTATATTTAATAAATTTTATTGATATATATAATTTTACCTAAAAATATTTTATCATTTAAAATATGAGAAATTACTCGGCCATGAAAATTTTAAAGTACTATGACATTTTTAGAAAATAATTTAAACAATTTTGCCTTGTGAAGGAGTTGTTATTATTATTATTATTATTATTATTATTATTATTATTATTATTATTATTATTTTGCCTAAGAAGGAGTTATTTATTCATTTACTATCTTCTCCGACATGAAATTATTGTTTCTCATTCATAAATTCATAAAAGTCAACACGGGGACGTGGTCTCCAAGAAATTCAATTATCGGAACGCGCAATGATCCAATGCCACATGTTTCACTTTCTCAGTCGGATACAACGGCTACTTGCCTACTTGCCTGACGTGACGGACGTTTAAAACTCGTCGCAAATTTTCAGCCGGCACCAGGAAAAACTAAAATAATTTAAGAAAAATGATAATAAATTTTTTTTAAAATATATAAATAATAATTTAATCTCTTAAAATGTAATAATTGTGTAGAAGGTTTTGGAGACTTTTTTATCATTAATAAATTTATATAAATTATTAAATTATCTTTGTTAAAAATAAATAATTCGCAAGTTTTATTTAAATATTCATAACTTTTCTTTTTATATTCACAATAACGCAGAAGCAAATCACAACTTTGCACGTTAATTCCTTATTTATTATTACATTATTGTAAATATAAGAAAAAAAATTATGAATATTTAAACAAAACTTATAAATTATTTATTTTTAATAAGGACAATTTGATAATTTAGATGAATTCATTAATAATAGAAAAGTCTTTAGAGATTTTAATAGAATTATGGTATTTTGAGAAACTAAATTATCATTTATACATTTTTCCAATAATTTACTAGAAACAAAAAAGGACAGCAAAGTCATAAAACCTGTTTTAAAATAATTTTTTTTCTAATTTTAGCCCTATGAAAAATAGAAAGAGAGATACATGCACCATGATCATAGTATATGATGAGCTATAAAATTAAATTTATAATAAAAATAAAATTAAAAAATAATAATAAATAAATATTCATGTGTCTTATATCATAGACTAAAAAATCTCAAAAAAATATTTTGAGAAAATTCTTATAATAAGAATTAGAGAAAGTGTATATTTAATATGTCTTTATGTAATTAATTCAAAATAAATATTTTAATGTATCAATAATATTATTAATAATAGTTTGTTCAATAATATTTAATTTAATTGAAAATAAGTGTTAAGGGAATATTTATTCATGCCAGGTTGAGAAAATGCAACACAAGGCAGGGCCTAACAAAGTAGAGGGAAATATATTCATGTATATAATATTAAGCATATAAAATTTTTTTTCCCCGAACATGTAAAGATTCATGTAGTTAATTTTATATATTTAATGTATTTTTATTAAATCAATTGAAAACTAATAGATTTTAATGTGTAAAGGATATTAAAAGCAATAATTTTTTTAAAAATTTATATGTCTTGATTTAATTAAAAATAAATATTTTAAATTTTCTTATATCAAAACACAAAGTATATATAATGTGGATGGGGGAAAAATGGGAGAATTTTATTGTAAGACCTTTGTAGACAATTTATAAAAAAAATGACGAAAGAAACATTAAAACACACTGCAAGCAAATGAGAATGAAATGAAAATAATTTTGCAAGACAATTGATCAAAGCACCCTTATAATAAAATGAAGAAAGAGCATGTGCAGAAATCAATCTAGACCTTCGACGAAAGAACCAAATTCTTGTGCGCATATCCCCTCTCGCCATTGAACACTGTTTACCATAAGTTGTAGAAGGATTTCCCTTTGACAATGCTGACATGGTCCCATGAGTGAGGCTGTTGCTTAACCTTCAATTATGTCACCGACGATGAAACCGACTTTGATTTAATTTCTAGACTAGGCAATCTGATGATATCACGACTTGTGGATTCAAGTCTACCTCACATGAATATGCTACAGCGATGCATAAAGCAAGCAAAATTATGACTTATGAAGGTCGACCAACCCATTAAATCAAATGAGGAACGAGTCTTCAAATTGGCATGTCATAGTTTGATTTTAATTTTCTGTTAGATAAGAAATGAATCAACTTCATGTTCATATTGGTAGATCCATGAAGATTTGTCTCATACTGGTGCTTCATCACAATTTGTGAACAATTTGTGATTAGTTGTTAATAATGTAAATCTACTTGTAAACACAACAATGTGAAGTTGTTCTTGCCTTAATCATTGTTGTTCCTGATGTAAATTTGTTTCCACTTGTATATAAACTTATTAATTATGATATATCACTTGTCAAGTTGTTATTCTTACTTGTCAATTTTTGGGTGTAGACCATTGGGATCAAGTTATAATATAAAAATGCAAAAGGGTTCGTGGACGTGTAAAATGACTTTGATTATAATTTAAAATTATCTTGTTATACAATGACTTGTTTGAATATTGATAACTAGAATATATTAACAAAAATCTTATGGCACCTGTCAATTCTGTTAATATGGATTGGTATGTGTTCACATTGTGGAGAATGGATATCAAAGAAATAGATTATTTCACACGAAAAGCATTTTTCAGATGTAAATTGTTTTGCAACATCACAATTGCAAAGCAAATGGCTAGGTCAAGGTGTTGCACATTAACAGTATTAAAGTTGCATTGTTCAAAATAAT